CCCCCCCCCCCCCTCCCCTCCCCTCCACTCCCCTCCCCTTCCCCTCCCCTCGTCGCCAGCACTACTAAATTCTGGACATAAGGTGAAGTCATGCGCTTAACAGTCACAGCAGTACGACGCTGGCCATGAGGTTGCGCAATACAGCACGAACCCTGCGCAATGAGGCCGCGCAATGCAGCTTCGATGCCGCGCGTGCGCACCCGGCAGCCTGACACAGCGCGTACTGCGTTCACAGACCATATTGCTCGACACCAACGAGCATCGATGCAACACAGCCTCTCTGCAAAGCCCTGTGGAGAAACCCCTCGCGTCGCGGAACACCCTTCGACTCAGCCTTATACCCTAGCGTGGCGAAATCTTACCGCATCGTGGAGCACACCCACCATAGCGTGACGTCCATCCCTGGCAGTACCGGCCGCACCCCTCCAGCACTATCCTCACAAGGGGGTTGGTCGCTGAGTCACTGCGGCTTCGACGCAACGCGTGCTGGCCTGTAATCCTGACACAGTGCGTGCAGCTGTGGGACCATAGCTGGTACACATGCGAGCGTTTACGCATTGCGACTTTTACGCGCGCCTGTTTTCACACACCTAGACACAAACGAGCGTCGACGCAACGCAGCCCCTCTGCAGAGCCGTGTGGCGCAATCTGACCGCAACGGAGTTCCTCTTGAGCCTTCTTATGCCTTCTTGTGCTCTCTGGCTTTGTTGGTTTCATCCATGATTGACCAAGGGGCACGTTCCTGAAACACCGGAGACAGTCCCTCACCAGAAAAGGTCCCGACAGCTACTCGGTCCGTCTCTACCTTTCGTGTTTCCCCCCTCAAGTATATATATATAAAGCAAAGCTAAAGGGTTACGGTTACACAATATCCTAGTGAAGGACAAGTCCTTCATCCTGCCCATCATCCTGCCCATCATCCCTGGCGGCATGTAGCATGTTTGCAGGAGTAGTATACAGTACACACGTAGACTTTAAATATATAAGACATACAAGACGGTTGGTCTCCGTTGTCTAAGCTTCAGAAGTCAACGCAAGGGTCATGGTATGTGTATTCTTGTTCATGTAGTTCTGTTGGTCGTCATCCAGCCAGTTTTCGGGCTTTGCGTGATACCGAAGCTCCCAGCGTAGGTCGGAGTGCAGATGTTGCTAGTGCCCTACGTGTTCCGGCGGGGTGACACAGCTCTTTGGTTTTCTCAGAGTCCAAGGCTTCCTGTCACGGCCATTGCTTTTTGCAGAGAATAACCTGCAACAAAATGCAACGAATGTGTTTGGACCTTTCCAATCTTGCCGTGAAATGCCTCTCAGGTTTCGCAGTTTCTTGCTGCTTGTGCTGCAGGACTGGGTCAGAAACTTTCACTCAGCGTTTCTCAAACTCTTGAGTTGAATGTAGCTCCGCCCAGGAGCTTCTTTGGAGTGGGAGGCAAGACCTAAAAGCAAATGCCAAACCAAATCAAAGCAGATTGATTCGTGGCAGTTTGTTTGGTATAGTGTAGGTAGGTCAGCGCCAGTCTTGCTACGTCTTGCTTGACACTATGTTCTCTTTGTGAGTTTGCTTGACATGATGAGAGAGGCAGACCCTACACGGTGTTTGGTGGTGCGCGGCAGTCTACTCCGTGCAGGCAAAGCTGTTGAGGCCAGCATTTTTGTCATTTTTGAACTAGAAGTTCCAGACCTGTTCAACTTTAGGTCAAGACTCGCCTTGGATCTACCGACATCTTGCCTGAAAGCCCAAACACCAAAGAAACTTATTCCGTTGAGACCCAGCTGTTTGCGAGTGCCAACTGTTTGACGGTTTGACGTGTTTTGTGCCATTCCTGGCGACAGTACATTCCTGGCCAACTCGGCAACAAGAGCGACACACCTACAAAGAGCCCCGAACCAGCACGGCGTCCCAGAGGGAGGAGGTGTTGAACAATGCACTTCTTTCACTGAAATGACTGGAACCTGGAGCACGGACCTGGAAAACAGGGTTCTTGGTAGTCTTAGTCACAAATGATGTTCTACGTGAATGTCACCGTGATGTCACCAGTACAAATTTACAGTATCTGAATTCCCAGAATGATGCTGGTGTTTTCAATAAGAACAGTAAGCTAATATAGCATTTTGACCAAGTGCGTTCGCTCAGTATTGTGAGTGCAGTAGTTTTCCCGTGTTGCAAGTGCTTATTCTTGTTTTTTTGTTTTGTTGTATGCGTAGGGAGTAGTAGATTGAAGGGCAGGTTTTCAATTTTTGGAAAATATGCGCCTTTAAGAACATGAGCAGCTGTTTCCCCGCTCGGGTTGCCAACGCCTAGGTAGGTGGTGGATTTCAGGCAGCTCAATTGTTGCGCCAAGATCCTCCCAAAGAGGAGGAGGTTGGGCCATCATGTTGTTCCTAGTGAGCCCCTTGTCACAAAGTGGAGACAAGAGCGAATGGTAGTTGTTGTCAGCCCTGTCAGCACTCTGGGCATCCTCAACTCTGAAAGTACTTCAGCAGACTGCGGATTGTTCTTTTGCTTTTGCATACCCGAATGGAGCGGTTTCCCATGTAGGCTGCCTTTGTAAGTCGCTACATTGGCGTGGCGACCCTGAAACGTGCTGGCCAGACCCTTCAATGCTCAAACAGAGACTGCGGGCGAGGCACTACGTTGAAAAGGGGCTTTAAAGGGTTGCAAACTGAAGTGTGTGTGTGTGTGTGTCAACGTAAATTGAGGACGGGTGCTGCTACGCAGTTTCGGCAAGCCCGAACCTTAGCCATTGATGTGTTGCTCTGGTGTTTGAGCTTATGACCTGTTTCAACTCGAGGATTCGGAAAAGAGAAGAACAGCTTGGCAGGTGCTTCACTTCATTCTTGTTTGATATGTTCGAAGGGTCGAATTACCTTCGCCAGACCAGTGACACCGCTGACCGGCAAGCTGCAGCGGGGTATCTAGAATGTGATCATGCCTCAACACATGCTTGATAGTATATTTTTTGGCAGAATCGATGGGCAGTCGAATTAAGATGTTCATTTGTGTGCAGACCAGCAAATGAAATGCTGTCTTGCTTTCCTCTTCAAACCTCAGACAGTTAGAGTTACGAGACTGCCAGCAAAGTTCTGGCAGAACTTGTCCCTCGCAGTTTGCTTGGGACATCCTACTTTCTTTGTCAAAACTAGAACAGACAATATTTTGAAGACATGGCGGCACTTTCCGAGCTCTAGATAGGAGGCCTTGTTCTGTCTTGCTTTGAACTCCTTCAGTTGACCGGGAAAGGAAGCACCGGGAAAGGAAGCACGAGTGCAAAGACTGGAGACAGCCTATTATACAACCACAAAGCGGTTAAAAATGCAGTAGTTAACGGTTCCAGCACATCTCACATTGGGCCCAGGTCTTTTGATAGGCGAATTCCATGGGTGACCCGAAGTTCCCAAACAGCCCTCAGAAAGTGCCTGAAATCCAAGAAATCTACACATTTGCATTGTGGCTGGAGCGTCTCACCTTCGGCAACCTGAACGTTGGGTAGCTGCGAGAATCAATGGGCACTGAATAGGTATCACCTCATATATACCGTACGTGCTCTTATATACCGTGCATTTTTTGCCGCTTCGACTTGATGCGTAGAATTAGGCATCATTGTTGCCTCGTGTTACATAAACCTTGGAATTAGAAGCTGCTAATGTGCGTCTCCAAACCTTGGATGCGGAGGAGGTGCATAATATCCAGTGTTGATTGTCATCGCTCTCCACACATGTCTTTGAACAAAATACAGGGGTTAGGTCTGACTGATGCATGGCTAGTCAACTGACACGGTTCCCTCCTTGGGGAGAACGGCTGGAATATTGTGCAGGAAGTGAGCTCTCAAGCAGGGCATGAAGCTTGACCGTTCATGAATGGTGTATGCATCGCCATCACTTTTTGTTCAGAAAAGCAGGGCATAGGTTTGGACTAACAAAGCAATTAATGCATCCCACCCATTCTCTCCGGCTGTGCTAACATGGTCACATAACATTTTGCATGGAGAGGTCCAAGCGAGGAGCTGTGATTTGAGCTTCAAGATTTGCCAGATTTGTTGACTTCAGACTTAAAGTGGAGTTGCTCACCTGAGAGGCTTTTTGCTTTCACACAGTGTGCCATGGACCAATCAATAACCATGAGCTAAGAGCAAGACGGAATGAGCTCAGAATCAGAAGAGAAACGTTCTAACCATTCCAGGAGCTTGTGGCCAATGGCTGCAGGCAGCCACCTCGGATACAGTAAATACAACATACAAACTCCGGAATGGATCCTTGAATGGTTCTTAGATTGCTTGCGAGTATGTGTTTTTTGTTCAAAGTGTGCATGGGTCCCCAGGAATGAGTCGGAATGAGTTTGATTGTATTGCGCAAGCTGTTGCTCTCATCATGCCTTTGCTGCAACATACATTGACAGGCGGAAGCGCCTCTGATCGCTACAATCTTGTGTCTTGGTGGAAACTACGCGCACAGAAGGACAGTGCCCGTAGATCTCTTTACTGTCAAGGACACAAAGCGCTCTGACCCGGCTGTTGCTATGCATGGCACGTACGTATTTTATGCACCCTAGCCAGCTCATCACAATCATCACCGTCATCACGTGACTTTGGATGACCTATGGACGTTATTAGACCCATGTAAATTTGTGGGACAGCTGCCTTTGCATAGCTTACATTCTTCATTAACCTTTCATTGTGCTCAGAGATACGCTGTTGTTCCTGATGCTGATACTCCTTTGATCTATGATGATGACATGATAAACTAATCGTGGCCGAAGCGATCACAACAAGGAGAGTGATGCTCATTGCACTTTTGTTTTCACGCTCGAGAACGCCAGGTGCGTTACCATAGCTGGCCTCGGCCTTCTTCGTGTGGCGGGGCTGCTCGCGGGGTTAGGACGGATTGCTGTGTTTGTTAAGTTTTGTCAAACCAACATGCACATATTTTCATTTCATCGGCATGTATGTTCATTGATGTTACCACCACCTGCATTTGCTGGAAGAGTGGATTGTTGCAACTACTGTAGCCTGGTCAGACATCAATCCGAATGAACACCGAGCACACGGCAGAAGTATGTAAAACATGGAAAGGCAGAAAGAAAGGTCTGAGTCTAAAGGGCTAAAGAAGAAAGGTCTCCATGCTCGGTTTCTCAAACTGAGGCGGGGGACCACTTGGTAGGCCAGCTGCTGGTGCAATTTACAGCAGTTAATATCAAATTTATCGATATGTGGTATTGCATTATTGATTGATTGTGGTTTGTGGGGTAGTGGCTCTCAAGATGTGGATTGCGGCGAACGCTGGATTTGGAGCAGTGCTTTCATGGATCTGTGCTTCCTGCGTTTGATTTGTTGGAGCTTGAGCATATCAACAGTGCAATGTATCAATGTGAATTAACAAGATCAAATATGTTGGCAGAGTGATATTGCAGGTGCCACGAGAACTTCACTTGATGCTACTTGCCCGGTGCGGAGTTCAGATAGAATCTAGAAGACACATTCTGATGGACTTGGCAGCAATTGGTGGCAATCACAAAAAATTACTTTGATTAGCAAACTTTATGGTTTGTGGGTTAGTACGCTTTTGGTTCAACTCCTTTTTCAGATGACGGTGTATTTTGGCGAAACTTTGTTTATTCTTGTTGCGAACATTCAAGATCTGAAGAAAGCTGAGAGTCGGCAGTCCGGCAGGCCACGAACACGGCTGGTATGTTTGCATGTGATGGAGGCCAGCAGCGGGGTTGAAAGGCTCGACATCTCAAATCCAGGACTTGATATAGAATGATGGCTTTCTTCAAGATGAGGGTGACTCTTCTGAGGTTCTTTGCATGAAGTCCTCAAAGCGTTTGCTCGAGCGTGTATCAAGATTTGCAATAGTGATAGAAACAGGCTGTATCCGGAGTCCAGGAAAGTTTGGGGTTCAATTCATCCCAATTCTCAGCAGGATCTGCAGCACACAGGCCGACGGCTGAGGTATGCATATAAAGAGTCGAATTGCACCTGGAAAAAAAGGTAATTCTGAGCGAAGAACGCAACGTGCCTTGGTGCTTTGACTCAGCTGGTGGGCTCAAGGGCGAGTTGAGGCCCACACCGGGCGCGGCCGAAGCGCCAGACACCGGCGCGAGTTGGTTGACGCCAATGTCCTTCGCCGCGAACCTGACGAAGATCGTGGCAGGCCGCATGACTCAGGGCAAGCTTCGTTCTTGTTTTGTGCGGAAGATTGTTGAAATGGACTTGTTCTTCGTCTTTGGATGGTTCATTCAAGTTGGCACATTTTGCTTCTTTGGAGGGAAGAAGTCGGAGCTGGCGGATCGGGAAAAGATTGCCCAGTCCTGGAAGGAGAAGGAGGTCCAGTGGGTGAGGATCAAGCAAGAACCATAGATAAGCAATAAACAATATGGCAATAGCTGTGATGATAAATATTGTTGATTAACCATGTCATGATGCTCCAGCGTTGTTGAGGGTGCACTGGGCCTTCTCCCCATACTTGGTTTGCTAGGCGAAATGACTTCAGTAGAGCTGATAGCACCATCACAAAGATTAAAGACCAGACCTAAGTGCAACCTGTTATTGCCATCATGTTTTCTCACTTTGACAAGGCAGTGTAGTAATGAACATGTTGACGTTTTACAATCTCTGACGAGACTTGCGCGTTCTTTGGAGTGAACAGGCAACCTTGCTGGATGAAGCAGTCAATTTGAGACCAGATCGCATTGGTGCAAACAACGTCAGAAAGGGCTGGCTTTGCATAAGCACAGCTGCTCTCATTGTTTAAGATATTAGTATGAAGCTTGAAGGAGCCAAGCACAACCAGCAGCGATATGCGTACTTGTAACTTGTTTGCCGTTTGTTTGAGCACAGGTTGCTCTATAACCCTGGTGTGCTTTGGTTTTCAGAGTTCTGCCAAGGTTTAAGGCTCGCTGCGTGAAGGAAGCAGAGTTGCAGAAAACCGAAGCGACCATCTCCTTCGAGGCAATCCTCAAAGCAATTTTCATGCTGCTGGCAGACGCCTAAACTGTGTAGGATAGACTGTGATCACAAAGAATAGAGACTACGTGACTTTCTCGTGCATGAGGCAGCACATAATTATGGAGAAGTCATCAAGAAGATAGCAGCCTCTCCCTGTACTTCGAAATTATCCAGTGTACTTACCAGTCTCATGCGAGAGCGGCAAACACCTACTGTGTATATAGACATATATATATATATTTTATAACTATATACTGTATATATATATATATACATGCACATGTGAGAAAATGCTACTTTTGATTTGAGAAATCGCACGCATGGAAAGCGGAACCTGAAAACTCAAGTCAATCATCAAGCATTTGCCACAACATTAATATATAGAGATACTATCCAAGAATCGAAGATGATTTCAACATAGATTTTCAGGGTGTTTGGGTTTGGAGGAATGCTGGTTGGACTTTGGCAGGTGATAACAAGGGAGATTCCCGACTTTCCAAAGCGAATCCTAACAGAGGCTTGCAGGCATTGAGGATCTCTGGTGGTAGTTTGTAAACATTGTGGATACGGTAGTTTTGAATTGTCAGCTTTTCAGCCATGGTACTGCATCAACACTTTGCATTTTTTCACGCTGCTTTGAGTTGGACAAAGCCGAATTGTGCTCCGCTGACTATGCAAACTCTTGTTATGCCAGGATTTGTTGCAGGGTTTTCCAAAGGTGCTGCATACTACATCCAATCACGGCGGGAGGGACACTTGCTTGCGGGACAGCGAGTCTAGATCCATTTTTGACGATGTTCATGTTTCGCTTTGTTTCATGTACAACTGCATATTTTTGAGGACTCCACGTACTTTGTGGACTCGTGGCCATCAGGGACCACTGCTGAGAGTTGGTTCTACGCCACGCGGGGCGTGAATTCCTCCTGGTCCCCGGGAGCACCCATCCTTTTCGCGGAGGTGGGAGGAAAACAAACCGCGCGAGAAACCACAGAACGCATACAGAACGCAAGAGAATTGAGTGAGGGCGAGGAATCAATGGCGAAACACATGTGAAAAGTTTGAAGAAGACAGAACGAAGAGAAACCATGAGTTGTTGGACAAGACTAAAGTCAAGAATTCAGCACTCTTAGAGGTTGAATTGTTCTCCGAATTTTTTCGGTACTGGTGCGGTTGCGCGGCCCCACTCCAACAGAGCCTTGGAACTGATTCCTTAAGCAGTGCGGTGCAGGTTCTTCAGGCGATGCTTCCTAAATTCGTGGACCGAGTGAAGGACATTGTGCGAGCAGTTATGGTCAAAGTAGACATTTTATAGTCTATATTATAGATACATATACTGTAGATACAAACATAACACATGTTAACATGCACACTGATTAGTGATTTGGATTTGGTCACCTTCGGGTCCTGAGAGGAGCTCGGCTTCCAGGAGTGCAACCACGAAGCGGGAACCTGGAAGGTGGCTGTCTCATGGCCGCCCCCAGAGGAAAGCTCGGCCCCTTGGAAAGCTCAGAACTCTAGATGGCCAAACTGACCAGTGCAGGAGGAAAATGATAAAAGTGGAAACTTGGGAGCACATACAAGAATCATGAGAAAATATATTAATATACAAATATGTTTTCACCCATTGATTCGCAATACGCTCTTCAGCAAAAGCAGCCAATAGACTTCACAGATAGTGCGAATCACGTTATGACCATCCTTGTGTGATGAATCATTCATCCGTAAAATTGGTGAGGTTCTGAACGAAGGGACTCTGTCCATCCTTTCTATGTACTGTAGTTGGACCTGCCCCCCAGACAGCTGTCACATTCTCAGAGCTTTTGCAGAATTTTGTCGTTGTTTGTAGTCCTGGTAGTTGCTTGCACGTCCGCATGGGAGCGCGACCATGGCAGCACCCATTTTGTGTTTCCAAAACCAAAGTCTGAAGCGCACATCATTTTTTGCCGCCACGTTTGTTCTGCATGCTTGTGCGGGGCTAGGAGATTGTGGGTGTATATGTGTGCACCAGATGCTCATGGGTTGTTCCATGTCGGCAAGAAGTAACTGAACATTGCGAGAGGGACCGGCGTCTTCCACGCCATCCGCATTTTCTATGCTGGCGTGCTCGTGCCCTATGGTGGACGCGTGCAGTGCGTGGGCACACACTCCGGACGCACATGTCATGTTTAGGACCAGGGCCAATGTGATCTCGTATGCTTCGTGAGTTGGTTGAAGAAGTGCTTGTTTGTTCTTGTGCCTCTCCCTTTTTGCAGATTTCTTGACACCAAGGAGAAGAAAAAACGGCGCAGAGAATGAGGTCTCTGACCATCGTGGCTTAAGACCACTATTTGTACAACGCGACTTTGGTGAGAAGGAAGCTTCCACAGATCTTATATTCTAGAAGATATTGCCCAGCTGCTGCAATTGCTTCTTGTGGTCTTTAGTTTTTGTCAGCCACAAGCATGAAGGTTTGGTCTGTTTGGCCTGTTTTGGCCTCATGGCTTTGCAGGGGAGAGGTCAAACCACACCTTGCGGGGTTCCATTGCTCCTGCCAGTTCGTGGTCAATCGGAAGTGAAACCAAAGAATATGATATAGAAACAATGTTGGCTATTAGAAACAAGTGCATCGCTACTAGTAACAAGTGCCTTACTAGTAGTAACAAGAAGCTATTAGAAACAATAGAAGGTGAGAAGACTTCTGCCCCGACAAGTCTGGGTCCGTGACCAGCGCCTTGTGTTTTCCCCTGTCCTCCCGAGTCAAGGGGAGTGGGGAGGAAAGAGAGGGGGGAGCAGCCTGAATATGTGAATTATGTAGTGGAAATATGAAAACCTTCAATGAAAGGCACCTGCTACACCTGCTGCCGTACAAAGACAGGCTCCACAAGAAGCCTGAAAGGCTTCGGATTCGAAGCGGCTTGGCGTTGCCTCGGCGAAGAGAGCAATCTTGTCCTGGCTCAGTTGGCACGGGCTAGCCAGACATCACATCAGACTATGGCGTAACTCCAGAGAAATCTTGTCCTCAAGCTGTTGCATGTTTGGGCATTGAACACCCAGATCAATGTCCAAGATCTTGGCATGCAGGAGAGCAGAGATTTAACAGTTTAACAATCCTTGCATTTCTGGCACTGCTGCAGGTTCCAATCTATTTGCTGACTTCTGTTCGTTTTGTGCTTTGCCAGTCAGCATGCTTAGGCGGTCATATGACATCTCTGGCGCTGAGCAAGTATCTTGGCCTGATGAAGACTCCGAAGTGTTCGATGACACAAAAGAAAACGTGTCTTGAGTTATATAATATAATCCTCAGACAGCTCCTTTAATTACATTGTAGACTCGTAGACTGCCAATATGTGAGGTCCGTCGCTTGCGGACAGCCTGGCCCTGAGAAGCTGTCCTTTGCTTTGTCCTCCACTATTCCTTGTCCTCTTAGGTCTCCTCATGCGAGTTCACACGAATCCCAACGGCAACTGACCAGGAGGGGATTTTCCTACAGATCTGAAGGGAGCTCTGTGAACGGACGAAAGTCACAAGACAGATAAGACATGCAGATGCCAGTGACCTGTGGGGAGCTTTTGCCCCCTTCTTCCCGACAGCTGACAGCTAGGTCTTAGGGGGGTAGCGGTATTCAACAGAGGTGCCGTGGCCACCACCTGAGCCCATGGTGATGGAGTTGCCAGGCGGGGGCGAATCCACAGACGAACGGCAGCAACGGCAACGATCAGCATGAATGTCAATCCCTTGCTTTTTGGGTTGTTGCAGAAAACCGCAAGCACTCAGACAGCCAGGGTGGAATGCTGAACGCTTTCGCCCGAGACCTCAGGGCAGTTGTGATCAAAAATGCTTTTTGGGGACACGTTTGCTATCTAGAATGTACGAACTGCCTTGCTTGCTTTTTGGCTGGACAGCAACGCTCTTCAGCGAACCCGATCCTTGGTGCTGCTGAAACTCTGAACCCCTTACTAACAGTCTGTCAGTGACATTCATCCCCGTGTTGACAAGCTCAAAGTGGTTTGTTCTTCGCCTGTCGCTTGAGACTTTGCCGTGCTTGCCACAAGACATCCCAGCTTGCATAACACATTTTGTAGCACATTTGCTTGGTCTTTACTACGCGTTTTCCCGTTGCAAACACCGCATGCATAGCAATTTGCTTAGGCTCTTGCAGGACAACCACCCGAGCGGCTAAGTCACAGTCTGCGTTTGCGTAGCCTATTCGTAGCCTTGCTTTAGAACTGAGGCTCAGGTGCCAAGCAAACGATTCCACACCGTTCACATAGACTTTCAGTTTTTGGCCAAACCTCTCCATGATTTTGTCAGTAACACACTGTTTTTTGTGGACTTGGGACTTGTTTGCAAGCAATCGGAGCTAATAATCCTCGGGGGCGCCTCTCCTTACCATGCGTTTGCATGAGTTGTAACATGTTGCCCTTGAGACATTCTGCGGTTGGTAAATTTTATTGAATGGGACAGGCTTGACGTACAACCCAACAACCAAGGCCACAATGCTTTCCTGGAGCGGTTTAAGGACAAGCGTGCAGTTGTCACTGGGCCCTTTTGCTATGAAAGTTTTTCTTGCTTTTCACGCAAGTCCAATCAGGGCACCTTGCTGGCTAATAGCGGCTAACCCGTAACAGCTCGGCTGAAATTGTCGCTGAAGATACAGGCTGGACTAGATTCGACTAATCGAGTGCAATATTTGGGGTTTTGAATAAGCGATGGTCAAGGGGAAAGCCCTCCTTGCAAGCCCCGATGTTTAATGAGTCTAACGTAGTTCAACAATTGCCCGGACCAGATTGCCCCTGTCATCGATCACCAATACATAATCTCGAAATATCAACATGCTCACGGATGAACAGAAAGCACCACATGTCATGACAATCTAGAGAACCACAAAGCACTCACAAGCCATGGCAGATCACAACAAATCATCACGGATCTCTATGGATCACATGGAAGCTACTAGGAGCAAAGGGCATCGCTACTAGGAACAAGAAGCTAGTAGGGGCCCAATCTCACACACATGATTATAAGGTCCAGACTCCAGACTCCTTCTTCCAAAAAGTGTGGCATAGTCGCACGTACTCAAGTTGGTTTTCGACAGGGTTTAAGAACGCCAGCTTTCCGGCTGGGAAAACGCTCAGCGCCGCCCAGCACAGGTTCTGTTCTAGTGAATTGCCCGTTGCAAAAAAAACCATTAGCACTTCACCGTAGCAAAAGAACTGGCTACCGACGCAAAAACTCAGGCTGCTAGAGCCTCGATGGACATGGAACTGCTTTCATGGTTGGACTCTTTTGCACTCACTTTAGCCAGGATTTTTTCACTAGGACCTAGGCGTTGGGGCAAGTGGCACTCAGACAGTAGGTGCTTTATCCTGGGTGTGCGCGCGTGTCCTCTTCGTAGACAAAACGGAACGTGTGAGAACGCTATTTTATGATTTCCCTGTGTGTGTGTTTTTCCCCAAACAGTTTACTGTTGGGGTCCTATCTTAGAAAGAAAAGAGCTGGCCACACTCACTGGCCGCGCCCCTGAACTCTGTGGCTGGGCTCTGTGGCTGGGCCTTGTCCTCCTCTTGGCCGCGCGCCTGAACTCTGTCAACTCTGTGGCTGGGCTCTGTGGCTGGGCTCTGTGGCTGGGCCTTGTCCTCCTCTTGTCCTCCTCTTGGCCGC